GACAAATAGCGCCACATATCAGGCGCGCAGGTCGACGACCCTAGATCGGCTCTCCACGGGCCCAAAAATGTCTCCCATATTGGTTAGAATGGTAATACCAGCTCTTTCTGGGAGGATTAAAAGAAGTATTTCAAAGTAGCCTGGCCCCTGAAAGTCATTCTATGGGTCATATGTCATCCAAGAAGCTCCCACTATTCCGAATGGGACTAAGATGCGTGGCGCATACCAGAATATGGTTTTTCAATGAAAAAATAGAAGATGATGAAACAAATGGAATATCCTTTCACCTCCTTCAAAATGACATTTTCAGGGATAAACGTGCCTTCGGAAAAGGTATAGAGGAGGTGGAGGTTCCTGCAAGACCGGTCTCAAGTGTAAGTTTTTTTTCTGGCTAGGAGATGACTCAAAATTATTAAGGGTTCCAAAAGCAAGAGAATGTGGAAGAAAAATTTACGAGTTCATGATGCCTCAAAAATTCGGAAAAAATCATAACAAGTAGTAGTAATACGAAATATTTTGGTAATTAAATTTTGTGAATAGAAATGTTCTAGAAACTTTATATTTCTACTTTGATTCGTTCTTCTTATCATCGCTTAGTGATGAGCAGGGGGGGGGATTCCGTGATCGTCTGGTTTCCGTCTAACAATAAGGACACGTGCACAACGTAACCTCGAGAAGACCCTACGATTCAGTTTCGACCCCCCCCCTTCCACACAAATTCCCTTTATGAAGATTATACAACAATTTTCTCTCCCAGCTAACGTCAAAAGTGTATCAAAAATGCTAAATTATTCATATTACACCATAGCATAGCATTAGGCGCAGTATGGCTTGGGAGGGGGGCATCAGATAGTACTCAGTTGAGCCTGTAAAGGCCGCATTTGGAGACCTGTAAGTTCCTGTGACCAACGTGGCTCACCCAAACAATTTCGCAGCTTCACCGGAATTCACAGGTTTGACCAAGACGGGACTTGTTACTTGATATGAACAGGGACTAACGAAATTACAAAGTGTCCCCTCCAAGTCGAACACCACCTAAAATTCAAACCTTTGATCTGAATTTTGAGACTCCAGAATCATTATTCAATTTCCACATCTGAGAGTAAAAAATTATTTTCCGCGTTTCGTAGAGGCGAGGATATTCGGGTGTAGTCAAAAAAAGCCAATTTTCTTTGTTCATTTCCAAAACATTTGAAAATATTTATTTCTTCAGAAAAAACTATTTTTTGTCATTTTCAGACATTACGAACGTCTCGATCAGCTGAGACTTTGGAAGTTCCCAAACGAAAGCGGCCATCGTTGGCAGGTCGAGCAGCTAGTGTGAACCTGGACTATGTGTAAAGCTTCGATGTACTCTCTCCAGCCACTTCAAGGCCGATCAGGAAGAACCACTGGAATCACCTGCCAGTGCTGGACGTGACCACAAATGCAAATCATTTCATGAAGAGGGCATGAACACGCGTTGCAGGACCTTAAGTACCTTCATATCATCTAACATGCTCTATTGATTTTACGAGATGTTCAAGAATACTTGTTTCTGAATAAATCGTTCAAAATAAGTGTGGCTAAGGGGGTTCCATTGGCGTTCTCGAGAGGAGTTCGTGCCGTTATCTCGTACACACACGTACACTCACACATGCTGTTTATCACGGCAACAGGCGCGTTTCCCGTCGTGGTCTAATCGAATATGCTGCGCCTGATAGCTGACCCTCGTTCCTGATTCTGAACTTTTAAAATAATTCTTATTCTATTACACTTCGTCAAATTTATTTTTTCCAGAAGAAAATGAAAATTTCGTTCTGTACATCGTTTTTGCGGTGCGTTGTGGGCTCGGAGGGAGCAGTTTTCCGCTTCCGTTATTTTCTCCTGTCATTTCATGATAACAGGTGCAACTCTGGTGATCTACAGTATCTCACGAGTACTGCTACTGGTTCAGTGATTTGAAAAGTGTTGGAATAGCATTCGATTAGATCCCCTAATAGGGGGGGGGCATGAAAAGAATATCCAGGGTCAAATGGCATGACTGGACGGTTCTTGCTCTTTTGCAACAGCTGTGGAGGCGAGCTGATCGCAGCATTTCTCTGGTGGAGTTATCGATTCGAAGTAAAACTTATCTGTGAGAATCGCTGAAATTCAGCTTTCCTTCGTCATTTGTGGTTCGTTTTTCGGTGTCGCTCGGCTTGGAAGGGGCATTTCGCACTTCATTTAGTTCCCTTTGCTAGTTCATGTTGAGTAGCATGTATTCTTTTGATGGGACCTGTGAATTCTTGTGAAGCCGCAGAATGCTACAAGTGTCTAGTGCTGTGGTTCACTTTTGTTACAAGAATTTGCAGGTGTTCACAAGACCTTTCTTGTACAAGCTTTGCTGAGTTCCATTTCCGTCCCCCCCAACCCAACTGCGCCCCCTTCAACTTTCTTTGTCTGACCTTTTTAGTTTCTCGACAAAACCTTTTGGCACTACTTACCCTTTACTCCACCTTTCTAAACTCGGCCCACTTCCCGAAGGCACATTTGGCCAAAAGTTTGTCCAGGGTAATTCGGCGTGCTGTGCACGAATATGACACCCACTCGACGCGAGAATCCCTGAAGTCTGCGCTACTGGCGCCAAAACACCTCGAGTTACTAAATTGCTGAAAAATCACTCCCAGGAGTAATCCGACCCTTGGAACACGAGTGTCACATCTGTTCGGCTCAAAAACGTTTGGCACGTTCTTTACTGGTGATCCTAGAGACACACAATTCCGTACTTCATGCAGTAATATTATTTACTGGCGCTGTTTGGTTCGGAGAGAGGGGGAGGGTATGGAGGGGGGGGGGGAGGGATGGGGACGGACATTTTGGACTTTCGCTATACCTTTTTCTAGTCCAGAAAGGGTATTACTCTGGTCAGACCTGTAAACTCCGTCCGTGGTATGGGTTGTGCTTCTAGTCGTACGAGACCTGAGACCAAAGTGGCTCACTCACACGATTTCGCAGAATCACGATGGGCGTGCCAATCGGGGTGGATACAAGGCAACAGCGAATGCATTCT